ATCAGTTAGGACAAGCCAGGTTGTACGGTAGTAGCAAAAAAGGTTTATTTCTTTTATTTTTTAATGTTTATTTATTTTTGAGAGAGAGAGAGAGAGAGAGACAGAGTGCAAGCAGGGGACGGGCAGAGAGAGGGCGACGGAGAATCCAAAGCAGGCTTTAGGCTCTGAGTTGTCAGCACAGAGCCCAACGTGGGGCTTGAACTCAGGAACCACAGGATCATGAGCTGAGCTGAAGTCGGACGCTTAACCGACTGAGCCCCCTTATTTCTTGATCATGATGGGATGAGGGGAGTTTCCTTCTCACTCTGGACCTTGGCTGGTGAGGCATCAGCTCTGCAGAACATGGCTAATTATCATGGTGGAGGGAAAAGATTGGCAGAGGACACTGGCTCCGAAGGCTGCAGGCAGGCAGTGATACTGTCACTTCTGCTCAGAGCCTCAGTTTCTCTGAAAGGGGCTGATTAACTACTGCCTGGCTATAGGTTATCAGAGTGAGCCCCCTGGCCAATGCTCAGCCAACAGGCATTCCTGGTGCCGGAAGGACTCAATGCCAAGACTCCTTGGACATGGAGAGCAGTTATGCACATGTTGAGGATCTTTATCTGCTCACGCCTCTGGGAGTTTGACCTGAGATAGTTTGAACTGTATGATGCTATCTTACTACTGATGATTATTGTCCGTGGATTATGCAATGTCTTCCTCAGGGCGAGTTCCTGGAATCTTTTCCAGTAAACTCTGAGGCAGTAGGAGGGGCATGGTATCACTTGTGACCTTTTACTTTAGGCTGTGGATCCTTTGCTTTCTGTGTTTGATACAGGCAAGCCTGTTACTTAGGTGTGACGAGCAGACGTGAGGCCCAACTTGTGCTTTCTGGGATTTCTCCAGGGACCTCCCTTTCTTTAGGTCACTCCCCTCCTCCCAAACCTTCAAGGGCTCCCTATGGCCCGCAGGAAAAAGTGTGAGAATAGCAACAGTGATCAAGTACTGCTACATGCCAGACACTCTCAAATCCTCCCAGAAACCCCTAGAAGAAGGAACCAGATGAAGAAATGGAGGTTCAGACAGGTGAAAAGACTTGCCCAGATCACAAGGAGAGAGAACACGGAAGAGGCAGGCCTGGCTGGCTTCCAGTTCTTTTTGATTCAGCGACCCCTCTCGCCTCACCCCTCCTCTTTTCCCTGTCCTTGGACTGGGCGGCTGCTCCAACCAGGCAGGCAGCAAGGCTGTCTCAACTCCCTCTCAAGGACCATCTAGAGGGGAGCGCCTGGGGGGCTCAGTCGGTTGACTTCGGCTCAGGTCATGATCTCGGGATTCGTGAGTTGGACCCCGCGTCGGGCTCTGTGCTGACAGCTAAGAGCCTGGAGCCTGTTTCGGATTCTGTGTTTCCTCTCTGCCCGTCCCCCACTTACCCCTGTCTGTGTCTCTCTCTCTCTTTCAAAAAATAAACATTAAAAAAAATTTAAGGGGGGCCTGGGGGGCTCAGTCAGTTAAGTGTCCGACTTCGGCTCAGGGCATGATCTCACGGTTCATGGGTTCGAACCCAGCGTCAGGCTCTGTGCTGACAGCTCAGAGCCTGGAGCCTGTTTCGGATTCTGTGTTTCCCCCTCTCTCTGTCCCTCCCCTACACAAAAAATATATCTCTGTCTCAAAAACGAATAAACTATAAAAAAATTTTTTAAATTCTGTATATAAGTTCTTTATAAGCTACGTGTTTCTTTTACTGTGCTGCCTGTCATTTCTCTTATTGTTGTCTTTTGATGAGAAATTTTTATTTTCATTGCAGCCTATTTTATCACAATTTTCCCGTTTGGTTGGCGTTTGTGTCCTCTGACACGTCTGGGCCCAGCTCAAGGACATGAGGATATTCTTTGTTTTCATCTAAAAGCTTTTTTGTGATCATTCACATTTGGATTTACAACCCATCTTGAATTGATTTTGTGGATAGTGTGAGGTAGGAGTGAAGAGTCTTTTTCTTTTCTTCCCCCACATGGAAATCCAATGGATCCAACACTCGTTCAGTTGAACAAAATGTTGCGTGGTAATATTTGGGTGTTTCCTGTACTATTTTCTTAACTTCCCTATAGGTTTAAAAATGTTTTAAGTAAAATTTTGGGAGATGTGATGAAAAAAACACACAGATACCATTGTAGGTAAATAAATACTGTGGAAATAATTCCAAATGCAATCTGTAACTCTTGATTTGATACTGTTGAAGAAAACAGGTATGAAAGACATTCTTTAAACAATTGGGGAAATTTGGGAATGTACTAGCTTTTATAGCATATTACAGTATGATTGTTCTTTTTTTTACATTTATAATTTTTAAAGTTTATTTATTTTGAGAGAGAAAAAGAGCACAAGCAGGGTAGGGGCAGAGAATGAGGGGAGAGAGAGAACCCCAAGCAGGCTCTGCACTGTCAGTCCAGAGCCCGATGTGGGCTCGAACCTCGAACTGCGAGGTCATGACCTGAGCCAAAGGCAGATGCCCAAAGGACCGAGCCACCCCAAGTGCCCCAATTGCTCATTTAAAAAAATTTTTTTAATGTTTATTTATTTTTGAGAGAGAGAGAGAGAGAGTGGGAAAGAGACAGAGAGAGACAGAGGGAGACACGAAATCTGAAGCAGGCTCCAGGCTCTGAGCTGTCAGCACAGAGCCCGACGCGGGGCTCAAACCCACCAACCTGGAAATCATGACCTGAGCCGAAGTCTGACACTTAACTGACTGAGCCACCCAGGCACCCCTGATTGTTCGTTTTCTTCGGTGTGGTATGACTATTGTGATTATGTAGGGGAATGTAATTTTTCTTAGGATTTCTGCTGAAATATTGAGGCATGAAGTACCACCAGTAAGGCGGCAACTTAACTTTTAAAAACTTCAGGGGGAAAAAAGCCCTGTACTTCCAAATTTAGAAAGATAAATGTGGGAAACTGATAATAATTGTTGAATCCAGGTGGAGAGTGTACGGGTGCTCCTTGTACTATTCTTTTAGTTTTCTGTATGTTTGAAAATACTTATTATAGATGTGGTGGGGCAGGGGCCACGGTGTGGGCCAAACCAAAAGTAGTTACAGGTCAGATTATTCCAGCTAGTTTGAGATTTCTGGTTTAGGGCCTCAACTCAGCTATCTCACTTAAGCTGAATCATGTTCCTGTAGAGTCCACTGGGTCCATTTTATAGGCAATGACTAGAATCTGAGGGGTAAACGACTTGCTTAAGGTCACACGTCTAGGTGAGACCAAGTCAAGATTTGAACCCAAATCGGAGTCATAATTCTCTGCCAAGAAAAGCAGAGAAATTTTGTTGTTTAAGCTTCTTATGCTCCGTCCCATTTTCCAGGGGTGTTGGTCAGGGAGAGCTATGTGCATTTACCATGTGCCTGGCTTTGCATGTGTTACTCAAATCCTCACAGCACCTGGATGCAATTGTTATTAATAATATCCCCCATTTTACTGAGAGGCACAGAGAGGCTAAGTAACTTGCATAAAGTCACTCAGCTAAGAATGGAAGAGATAGGAGTCAGGGAACCTAGACAGTCCGGCTCTAGAGCCCTCACTTACAGGCTCAAATAGTGTGAAAAGTATAAATCACTTTAGAAATAGAAAGCGGGATTATTGTTGGCTCTCAAAGAATCCATGCAAAGTCCTCCCTCCTCCTGACTGCTTCTGGCATTCCAAGACAGCCTCACAGTTCCCTGTGAGCTGTGTCTATACCGGGAGCAATTTCCTCCCCAGTTCAGCTGGAAGACTCTTGGAGCTAGGGCTGGTTCTTCTGCCCTGGGGCTGATCTTAAAGCATTGATTTGGTTATGGTCACACACTATCCTATGGAGTAGGACACCAATTCGCAGGATGAGAATTAGGAGCCAGATGGAATGCTGCGGTAAATTACCACCTCCTGGTCAGAGGTCTGCCTTGGGAGACAGGTCAGTTTTGATTTGAGCCCTTATTGCAAGGCTTGGGCGAAGTGCTTCTCCTGGGAGCCTCAGTTTCCTCATTTGTATAATAGGAATAGTAAGAGCACACATTTCAGGGCTGCTGGGGGGATTTAATGAGAGAAGTAAAGCCCTGCGTGTCTCAACGCAAGAACTCACGTTGATAATTGTTATCATCACACTCCTTATGATTCTGTGGGATGTGGACCGTGCCTAGAGATCTAACCTTTATCCTTCCTGGCTTTGGATAACCTGGGGACAGAGGAAGCTTTTTAACCTCAGGGAGGAGGCTTTTTAACCTTAGGGCCTTTGTGCCTGCTGTTCACCCTTTTATGTCTCATCCCATGTCACCTGCTCAATGAGGCCTTCCTTAACCACACTAGCCTGCCTCCGATACATCCTGTTTTATTGTGTTCCTATCATTCATCAGTGCCCGACACTAGGAACTCATTTGTCTCCTCTTCTCGCTTTCGAGCGTTGAGTTCATGAAGACAGATTTTGTCTGTTTTGATCTCGGTAGCATCCGCAACACCAAGAACAGTGTCTGGCCTACGTCTGGCTTTTAATAAGTGGTGAATTGAATTAATGAATGAATGAGTGAAGGTGTATGCCGAGCCCCTATGCCCAGAATCCCCGCTCCACTGTCGCAGTGGGCGACCAGCCGCGTCAGACATTGCAGACGGCCCCTTGGCTCCCGGGCTGGGGGCGCCCTTGCGCGGAGCCCACCGGCACTTGAGCGACGCTCCCCGAAAGCCTGGGCGGTGGCCGCGCCGGGAGAGGGGCTGTCGCCATTTAGCGACGTTCCCCGCGGGCCGCCGCTCCGCCGCGGAAGCCGAACCGGGGGGGTCGGGCGGCGAGCGCGAGCGCGCGGGTCTTTTGCGACGGTGCCCGGCGGCGCTGGCCCCGCCCCCGCCCCGCCCCCCGCGGCCCGCCCCGCCCCGTCTCCGCCGCTGCGCTCGCCCGGGGCCGCTCAGGCCCCCGCCCGCTCTATGTGGCCCGGCCCGCGGCGGCCGGCGGCTGGGAGCGGCGAGGCGGCGGCGGCGGCGGCGGCGAGCGGCGGCCCGCGAGGCCCGGGAGGCGGTGGCCGAGGCCCAGGCAGCGGCGGCGGCAGCCCAGGAGGCGGCGGACGGGGAGCGGCGGGAGCAGGCTCGGCTGCAGAATGCGCGTCCGCCGGGGGCTGCTGCGGCTGCCGCGCCGCTCGCTGCTCGCCGCGCTCTTCTTCTTCTCGCTGTCGTCCTCGCTGCTCTACTTCGTCTATGTGGCGCCCGGCATAGGTAGGAAGGGAGCCGGGGGTCCTGGGGGGAGGTGCCGCTCCGGCCTCGGGGAGGGGGGGTGGATCTCGGGAACCCCTCGCCCCACCCTGACGGCACGCCGACCCTTGGGAGACCCCGGCCGGAGGCCGCCCCGAGCCTGGCCGCGGAAGGTGGCGGGGACCCCACGCCCGGCCCTCGGGGGACGCCAGGACCTTCCCGCCCTCTGCACCCCGACAGACCCCGGAACCCACTGCCCCCGCCGGCCTCGCGCGCACCCCCGGCCTTCCTAGCCCATCCTCCGGCGAACCCGACCATACCTTCGCCCCCACCCTCCGGAACGGGGCGCCCCCTTTCCCGCCCTTGCCTCCCTCGAGCCCCCCTTCCTGCCGCTCGGCTCGAGAAGTCCCGCTCCTCCTTCCCCGGGGTCTCCCGAGGCCCCGGTTCCCGGCATTCCGCGGACCCCGAACCCTTTCGGCCCGCCCGCCCCTCCTCGCCGAGCCTCGCTCGGTGCTGGGGTCTCGAGGCGCCCCACCTTCCCGGTCCCCATCCATCCTTCCCCTCTCTCCTCCCGCGTGAGTCCACCGTTTCCTGCTCCTCCTCCCTCCCGTCTCTTCCCTCCACTTTCCTGCTCTGTCCACCTCCAGGTCCTCCTCCCCAACGCACGTTCTCCTCCTCCAAGCGGCCCCTTTCCTCCCCGGGTGGCACCCCCCCCCATATGGCGGTCCACCTCCCATTCAATCTGTTAACCCCTGAGCGTCCCACGCCTCCTCCCCGTCTCCACCCCCCCCCAAAGGCACACCCTTGTTACTCCGCCCCGTACCTCTTTGCCTTCCCCCCAACCCCCCCCCCCTCCGGTCCTCGGTCGCAGTTTCTTCCTGAATGAAGATTTCGGGAGAGGGGCTGTCTGGACCCTTCCACCCTTTTATTTCTGCTTTCTCTTAGCCTTGAGGGGAGAAGGTGGCCCTTCAGTCTCCTATGGTGCCTGCTCAGGGACCGAGAGGACACGTAAAGTGGCCCTAGAGGACGAGATGTGATAAGAGCCTTGGGGAGATGGTGCCAGGTGGGGAGGAGGAGCATGGAGAAAAAATGGCATGGGTACTTATTCTTCTGGAAGGCATGTCCTTTAAAGGCAAGGCAGCCCCTGGAGAAACTGAACAGGGCCCGGGCATAGACTTTGAAAGGCCACAGAGCAGGTAGACGTAAAGGACATGAAGAAAGAGATTGGAAGGGAACACAGCATGAGGGTTAAGGTCAGAGGACACTGAGGTCACACTTGAATTCAGATCCCTGCCCTTTATGACCTTGGGTAAGTTACTGAGCCTCAGCTTTTCTGCTCTGTAAAATGGGAGTACTAAACCTAACCTCAAAGGGTTTTAAGTGGAAGTAGATAGATTCTCTTTTAAACCACTTACGATGCTTAGGGAGTTTTTGTACGTGGTTTTTAAAAAACAGTTACATGCAGCTTTGGAGAAAGAAGGGAGTAGATGGAAGGTTTGAAGACTGTATCTGACTGACCTGGTGTCACCGCAGGCTCTAGAGGAAACTTGAGTTCAGGGCAAAGAATGACCAGAAGGTGCTGTTGGGGGTGGGGCAAGGAGAGTAAATTCTGCTATAAAAAGTCTGGGTCATTTGGATGTTAGGAAAGGGCGTGCCCTCTAGGTCTGTAGCCATGCCTAGTGCCATTCTCTGTTGATCTGTCACCACTGAACTAGCTGAATAGAGAAATTTCCAGATAGAGCAGGAGATTCTCTCCCGATTTTTTTTTAAGAGCATATTTCACTTGATGGTTAATATTGATGGTGTATAGTACCAAATGGATCTGGAAGATGGAACAGGCACCGTCAGATTGCCCTAACAGTTTATGAAGTATCTTAGGAAAAAACATCCTTCTAAGAGACTATAGTATGTGGTCTCCTGGATCAGATTAGGGGATAGGAATTTGGGCAGAAGGAGAACAGGTGAGTAATTAGTGGAATTAATTGAGAAAAGAGGTCATTAGCATAGTCAGTATTAGACTTAATAACAATGGGTGTGAGATGATAGATTTAGACCTAGATGTAGTCTGGGAGCCATAGCCACTTTCAGTGATAGGTTATTTCTGTTGTTTGTACATAAATCAGCCATATCCAAATAGCAGAATAATCCCACTGGGATGGTGATCACCCTTTTGATTAGAAAAGTTAGAAGGCACATTCTCCAGCAGAAATGAAACTCACCAACTCAGTTAAAATTCCTCAGCAAGCAATAATTTTAGGTCAGTGGAACCCCAGTGTAAAATGATGAGCATTTACCATGCTTAGATTCCTGTATCATTGAAAGCTGAAAAAGATTCAGAGCACTTAAATTTTCACTAGTTTCTCCTTGAATGGAAGTCTTCTAAAGGGCAGATCTTCGGATTCAGATTCTGTCAGTGAGGAATGTGAACCGTGAAAAAGATGTGGAATGGCTCTAGGGTTCTTGTAGCACAGTTATATTCTGCTGTTTGGTGGGACTTTTGATCTTTTTTTAAAAAAATCTTGGCTTTCCTGTTAATACACTTAATTTTTCAAATGACCAGTTTTGGACAGTAGCGTGGCAAATCTTCCCAAAGGTTAAGGCATTCTAGAGAAATACAAGGTTTTGTGTGCCTTGGGTTATGAACACCTTAATTTGAGACATTTATTAAAAGGAGCTTAGAAAATAATATTAGGTTGAAACATATGAAATTTGTTTTTGCAGGTCAAAAACAGTTGTATGTTGGCAGCGTGATTATAGCTTCACTTGATTCATTTCCGAATAATGACAATTCTCACTTCTGGTATAATGGAAAGTGTTAGAGACTTAACATTTCCTTCCTGGTTTAATTTTTTCCAGTCCTGCTTTTGATTTGCTTTATACACCCTGTGGTCACGTTTTGCTCAAAGGCCTGAAGAGAAGTCATCAATTCCATGAGTGTGTTATGAGTATATTCAGATATAGGTAGACTTGAATTGAATTTGAGATAAGAGAAAAATAATGTTAGTTATAAATATTTTAAAGTTGTTCATATATGATATAATCCAGGCACAGTTTCAGCCTATGTGTTAACTTAGTATTTTTGAGTTCTAATGCCAGCCCTTAATATTGGTGACCTATAGTCTGAGAGCAAAGGGCAATTTCCTGGACTTGAGGGTCATCTGAGATAGGGGTAATGGCGCCATTCAACTTAGAAAATTGGATGTGAGGACTGTTGCTTGCTAGATAGGACTATGGTGTGTTTGTAGCAAGTACAAAGAGTTCTTAGCTCCTTTAATATCCCTATCCCAATCCAGTTAGTGATTTCAAAGTATGACTTCACTGGGTATTACATTTTTGTTATTAATTCAAAAGTAGTGTTTTATATCAGAAGTTTGCAAGTAGAAATGAAAAGGATAGGGTAGAAAATGTGATGAAGGTGGTGGATTTTGAAATGTCTGAAGCAGCAGCTGATATGGTGACAAAGATGTGTACCAGACTCTTCCCTATAGCCCTGCCCCAGCCACAGCCCGACCGATTCTCATTTATTTAATCACTGTTTCCTGTCCTGGTGAACTATCACTATCCCTTTCAGAGTTCTGAAGAGAACTTTGAACTTATTTATGATCCTTTAAACTTAAAAAAAAAAAAATCTAAGAGCTCAGAGTACATCTATATATTCCGGTCTGACCAGATCTTTTAGAAGATAAGAGAAATGAACTATTTATAGATGAACATGCAAAATGCTGATTTAAAAGCATCTTAATAAGTTTATGGGCTATTAGATGGGAAGGTTGTATAGAGGTTACTGACCTTTGCAAATTGGTAAAACAGTTACTGATTTTGAGAGAGGTGCCCATGCAGAGTTAGAGGTAATAGTCTGTGTATGGATGAAACTTTATTAATTGAAGTTCTGCCTTTGAAAATAATTTTTCTTTTGCCCTTTGATTAGTAAGGAAAGGAAATGGGGAATGATTTTTCCCTTTTGGCATGTTTAGTTTGATTTTTGGTTGGCTTTTGGAAGGCAGGCACCAGTAATGCTAATCCCACCTAATTTGACCAAATGACCTTGAGCAAGTCACTTGATTCTCTGATCTTGACAAAAACCTCAAAGTTCTTTGAAAACCAAGGACTTCATCTTAACTGACTTTCAATGAGATGTTTTTACATACAGAAAGTTGATAATTCATTCACATTCTGTACAGTACTGGACCTAAGATTTTAGATAAGATACATGTTTTATGTAATCAAATGCAACTTTTTCTAGTAACCATAGGAACATTTCAGATTCCCCACAGTTTAATATGAAAACAGCCTCTTTTTTTTGTTGTTATTGTTGTTTCCTCATGAAAGTGCCCCCTAAATGCCACAGTGCACATAGTTCTTGAGCTTTTGTGGAGTGAGGAGTGATATACATATGGTGGAATGTGGGTTGTTTTTTTTTTTAAGTAAAAAAACCTCATCCTGTTAAAGATCCCCACCCCCTCATGCTCGTTTTCACACTCAACTCACTCAAATATTTTCTTTGAGTCCTGTCATCTTAGAAGGAAACCATATTTAGGGAACAGGTTGAAGTTATACAGATGAACAGCACATTTTTGACCAGGACTTTGGTGATGTTTCACGTCTGCCTGCAGCATTTTGCTGTGTTGGAAACAAGGTCTGGGTTTGGAGTTGCAATGTCTTTAACAGTGAAAATATGCTAATCTTGGACCATCTTTAGAAGCAGCCGCTCAAACAACATCAGATACGGTTCCAGGCCTTTGATACTGTAGCCAGTAGATGGTCCTGTTCCAATCCTGACATTTCCCCTCTGAGCTTGACAGGCCAGTGGGAGCAGCATATAATATATTACCAGGAAGGAGGGGCTCTGTGTTGCTCAGACTCTTTGGAACTCTTCAGGAGAGTAGAAATTCCAAACCATAGAAGCCAAAATGCAACTGACTGCTCTAATTTTGGAGCTTTTTTGATCATAGAAGATCTGTTGGACACATCCAACCGTGTAAAGCAAACACAACTTTAGCAAGCAAGAAGTAACAGAATGTGAT